AGAAATACGAAAACAACGCAGAAAAAAAATGAAAAATTTCGTCATAAAACGAAAAGATATTGAAATCGTTTTTTTCGCTCGAATTTGTGTGCCAAGTTTAACTACGTAAGCCAGAAATATTTTCGCCTGACTTTCATTTTCTGGTGCGTCAATTGCTTGCATTTTAGTCATAACTGTATATTCGTATGATTTCGATGAGTCATTTGTTTTTCAAAGTAAGCAGATCGAAGCGTTTGTCTAATTTTCTTGCTTATAAACTATATTGAAGCCTTCAGACAAATATTTTCCAATGCCAAAATACAAAAGAGAAAGGAAAAAAACTTGCTCCAAACATTTTTCCATCGATATGAACCGAAAATACGAAAAAACGGGAAAAAATTGATAGGAAAATATTGGCAAAAAATGGTGATCGGAAAATTTGATTCGGTTGAAAAATGTCTCATTTCCTCTGCTTCTTTGTGAAAAATAAGAAAAAATAGGTCAACCAATTTAGCTGACGCACCCGATAATTTCATTGGGGTGATGAAATACAAGCTGAATTTCATTGGTTTCGTCGGCCATGATTGCATGGACTTTGTTCGACCTTATTCTCGCAATGAGCTGTGATTTCATGCATATGTGCGAATTGGATTGAAAAGAATATTGATTTATTCGATTTACTTACGTTTTATTTTTATTTGATCACTTTTCACAATTCAATTTGGAATTATATTTATTTAACAAGTTTTTCTTCAGAGACGCAGAGATCTGTTCACTTCGAATAGTACACAATGTATGTTTCAGAACGACGCATTCACTTGTATTTTATTATACATCCACAGTCGATTCTATTGTCGACCTTATCGCTCAACGAAAAACCCAGATGAGTGTGCAGGGCAGAAAGGGACAACGATACGAACATGACGTTTCACTTTGGACCGAAAGTCATTTTGAACGTTTCCTATATTTAGTACGAATGATGAAATTGTTATTGCCATTTCGCCAAAAGAAAATATCAATAAAGTGATCTGAGAAAATATTTTACTCCGCATATGAATAATTCAAAATGCTGGCCAAAAATTCAGTTTCAAAATTACATTGATACATGTAATTAATTCCAAAAAAAGCTAAAGAGTTGGTTGCATCAAGCGGATAAAATTGCTGCGTACTTTGTGAATTCATGCAGCCAATATCCAAACATTAGTACCATTGTTACATCGATTTTTAGTACGAAATACAACACGAATGACATTTCAACCAAAATTGTTTATATGTGTCATTGCGGCTTGACTATTTGCTTCACCGTCGAAACACAATCACTCTAATAGTCGATTTAAGTTATATTCCAAAAATTGATTTGATTTAAAAATCTTAAATATCATCAGATTGAACTGAATTTTGTTCTATTTCATAAGCTGTAAAGGTATGAAAAAAGAGCGTATTTAATATATTCAGAGAAAATGAACGCTGCAGTATTTTTGCTTTGTCACACTCAACCAACTTAACCTCAAAAACATTTCTGTGGCTATTTCCAACTAGTTTATAAATAATACTCCAAGTTATTGACTTTGTATCGTAAACGATTTATTCGGAAAAATTTGCTATTGGTTTCAGATGTTTCTTACTCGTTCGGAATACGATCGTGGTGTCAACACATTTTCACCAGAAGGGCGTCTATTCCAAGTCGAATATGCCATAGAGGCAATCAAATTGGGATCAACAGCGATCGGCATTCGCACGCCTGAAGGAGTCGTTATGGCTGTAGAGAAGCGAATCACATCTCCACTCATGGAACCATCAACGGTTGAGAAAATCGTCGAAGTAGATCGGCACATCGGGTGTGCAACATCAGGATTGATGGCTGACGCAAGGTACACATGCAAATGCTCACATTTATCGATAGAAAATGGAATTTTCACATTTATTTCAATTTTTAAT